GAGACATCTGCTACTTTCAACATCTCTCTCTCTCTCTCCAATCTTATTTTGTCTCTAGGGCTTTGAGACACCAATTTATCAGATTAGGGGGAGAAGCTATCAATTAAGAGTATGCCGTTGGGAACCAAAGTCAGCGAAGGGTCGTCGAGAGAAGAGATGATATTGATTTGAGAGATGAATTTGAGAAATAAATGGAAACTACAGATGAAGTGCATGTTTTAAATTGAAGAAGAAGATGAAGCAGTGAATGTCGGTGCAAATGGGAGAAGCTTTAAGAAGAAATTACACAAATCCGAAGTTGATTGGGCCAGAAAGCGGTGAAGCAAAGGTAAAATAACACATGCTCACAAACAATAGCGATAACAACATAAAGAGCCCCACTGCAAAGAACAACCACAAAAGAGGTGCAATTGAACCCACATATATAAACATTATCCCAAATCCTTAGGAACTTTACTAAGAATGTCCTTCTTTAATATATATATATATATATATATATATATATATATATATATTATATATATATATATATATATATATCTAGGCTTAGGTTATTTTGTTTAAAGTAATTATTGTGTTATTGTATGCATAAATGTGGGCCAATCAAATTTATTAATTTTAAGAAAATGATTAATATATATTATTGAATTAAATATAATTGAAAAATATCATCTTAATTAATTACAAGGGTACTTTAGTCAATTAATATATATTTAATAAAGGAAAATTGCATTTTTTAAGGGATCATAGATTTTATTAATTTTAAAAATCCGATTTAACGAATTATAATTCTTTTAATTTGGGCATTCTGATAGAATATGTTTATGAGTATATCAAAAATAAAAATATTCTTGAACCATAAATAATAAAAATATTCTTAAACCTATTTCTTGATCATGACTTTAAAAACTTTTTGTAGAATAACAAATTCTTGAACAATCAATTGAAGAATAAAAAAAATACATTATTTCTTATAGAATACGGGTAACATTTTTTAAGAATTACATTTATCGTTAAATAATAAAACTTAAACACCTTTAAAAATAGGAAATAAAACATCAAAATCTCATAACGACACTAATACATTCTAAAAGAATAATGTTGCTTAGAATCACTTTCAATTTTGTGGTTCATTCTTCAAGCATCAACTTCTGTGATTCCAACAGAATTGGAATTTGTAATCCCATTCCAATAGAATTGGAATTCGTGATTCCATTCCAATAGAATCAATGTTAATTGTTAATCGAGGAAGTAAATCAAAGGTATCAGCTATATTTTGCTGCTGATTTTCAACACACCCTGCATCTTTATTTGTACCTCAATTAAAAAAAATCAATTATATGACTAATGGGATGTTAAAGGCTAATAATGTGATAAAAAGAAAAGAAGAATAAGAAGATCACATTAACATTGTTGTTTGAATCGAATAACCTCTCTGCCACTAGTGAAAGTAATTTCTCCTTAGATTTCTCATTCAAGTCCACCTGACCATTGAAAGTAATCAAATTAACCAAATGTTGGTTTAAACTACAAATACTACTGGTTTTACAAAAGTAATAATCATATCATGTTTAAACTATAATTTTTAGATACTGTCAGTAAGCACACACAATAAAGAATCTCGACAAATAAAGTGCCCTTGCTAATGATGTTCCTAATACAGTAATGAAAGATTGAAATCATGAACTCGAGGAGCCACTTTTGAGAGGGACTTCTATGACTCAATTTGCATATCCTTAAATTACCTTAAGAAGAAATTAACAAAGATAGCAAACTGGAAGCACATGTTTTACTGCATACTATTATATACACCAGAAATTAAGCTACCTCATTGTTAATACTTCCATTGATTTGTGGATTCCTGCAACTCTCCAGAATCCAATAAAATCTGAATGCGAAAAGCATAATTCTAGAAAGAATCCTTCCAGACCAATAGAGAGCCACTTTTGAGGGGGAGATCGTCATTATCGGAAGCGCCTTCGAGATTGGGTTGAGAAGTGGGAGATTGGGGTTTTGAAGATAAGTCTTCGAGCTGTGAATCCATTTAAGATGCAAAAGCTGATCTTGTTGGATTTGATGTTGATTGTTTGTATTTCATAGAAATGCGGAAGACTGACAGTAGACGTGAAGATCAATGGTGGTGTTGGATGCAGGTGGTGGAGCTGGCTAGAAATAACCCAAATACGAAAAGAGAAGTCCCCACCGCAATCAATGGTAGTGTCGGATAAAACCCGAATTTGCTGCTCTTCCGCTGGCGAGGCCATCTTCGATGAACGTTATAGCAAGTTTCATTCTCTCTTCTGTTCCTATGCTCGATTTTATGGTGATGGGAATCAATTTTTGTAGAACGGTCGATTTTGTCTATTCCAATTTTGCAGATCGGCCGCTAAGATTTGGTTTTTAGATAAAGAGGGGAAAGAGATTTAAACAGGAGAGATTAGGTTAAAAGTCAATACCATCATTATAAGGATTATTTTTGGAAGTTACTAAACAAATTACTAAATTACCCTTATTTATTTATTTATTTAATTTTGGTTGGCTCACATTTATGCATACAATAACACAATAATTATTTTAAATAAATGAACCTATCTCTCTCTCTCTCTCTCTCTATATATATATATATATATATATATATATATATATATATATATATATATATATATATATATATATATATATATATATATATATATATATATATATATATATATATATATATATATATATAGAGAGAGAGAGAGAGATATAAAGACTTCACGGATGTTATAAATATATGTAACATGAATACTAGGCTAAGAAAGAGGCTATAAAAGAACTTTACTAGTATAATTATGATTATAAGAAACTAATGCTAGTAGGAAAGGTAAATAATAAATATATTTAATAATTATGTTAATATCATCATATTGGATTATTTAGACAACCCTATAACCAATCATTACATAATAATTACTTTTAAATTATGATTATCTCGTAGTTTTCAACATGCATTTATTGTTCATAAATTTAATCCCTAAAAATCCATTGTATCAAATTTAGTTCCTAAAAATTAATTGTATCAATTTAGAACCCTTTTCGCTTATGAACATAATAATATTTTTTCATAAATTCGTTCAAGCAAACACAATTATATTATACTCGATAAAATTTATATCATTTTTTGGAACTTCTATTCTTATATTCACTAAATCTACTTTAAGTTTATATAATTTTTTTTACTTATCTACCCACTAAATCTATTCTTAAATTTATATATTTTAAAGTTTTCTTTTTTCAACAATTGATAAGGAATACGTATTTTTATCGTTTGTGGCCATATAAAGTTTTAAACCAAGCGATGATTACTTATTACTTTTGAATTTTTTAAACAAAAAATTATAATGAATATAATAAATACGTTATTAATAAATGAAAATTGGTTCAACAAAGAATCATCAAATTTAATAATAATCTTCAAACACAAGATATAAATAATATTCTTTAACAATCTTCTATAGTTATAAAATCACGATTAAAAGGTTTCTGTTGTCTATAAATTTGCAGACGTGACATAAAAATCGTTTCTCATCCATTTGCACACGGGGCTCTATGGTGGGTCCAGTAAGCGAAAATGGTAGGTATCGGACATTCTTCTTTTAGTTGTACCATAACATAATGATTATAATGTACAAGTGGAATTGTAATAATCCAATGGTCCAAAAATTCTTCTGGACCTTTCAAAAGACGAAAGAAAGTTAAGGAACCATGTTTGGTTAACAGAGTAAGGACCACACCAAACCTGTTGGCAATCAGAATACCTGTTTCAGGCATAAGCATCCAATGTTCCATTGTTGCACGCAATCCAAAGAAATACAATAAAGGCCACAGTTCAAGGATTTCATTTTTGAAAATCGTAGCAGATACATCGGATGCACTTTGTAACTCGTCCACTAGTTGTTTTCGAATGTAGAGCCACTGGTCTTCTCTATACCCGAGACAAACACACAGGCCAAGCCCGGGCCTGAGGGAGTGCTGAGTGTGCAGCCCCACAAGGCCCCGAAAAAAATAGGGCTTGAGTTTTGTCTAAATTATATATATATATATATATATATATATAATATATATATATATATATATATATATATATATATATATATATATATATATATATATAGGGAGAGGATCAAATGAGAATACCTAAAAGGTTGAAAACGGGAGAACAATTCTGGACCACTCAATATATAAGGGTATACTAGTAATTGTATATTTTAATTAAATTAAAATAAAATAAAATTCAATCAAATTCCCTTAAATTTAGGATCAGTTACCAAAAAAGAAATAAATATTCAATTTTTTATTTTTCTTATTAATGGAATATAAAAAACATTTTTATCAAAATTTATTTTAAAATTGAAAAAAATTCTTTAAAAAATCAATTTTTTACTCCTATTTCACGTTTGTTTTTTCTTTCTTTTTTTTTTTTTGTGTGTTCAAAAAAATGAATAGAAATCGAACATCAAGTTAGTACATTTGTATTCATAAATGATTTTTTTTTTTCAAAAAACCTGATACTACTACAATTACAAATAAATACAGATCAATTTACAAGTAATCCAATTTCTTTTTTTAATCAGTTGAAAATAAAAAAGATTGTAAAAATTATCATTTCTCCACAAAAAGAATACCTCTAATCATAAATAAATATATTCATTAACACATGCTTACACTGTTATTCACAAATGAATACACTGCTATTAACAAATAAGTACCTTGTTATTCAGAATTGAATAAATGAATACCTCTAATAATAAATAAATACATTCATTCAATGTTATTCACAAATGAATATACTGATATTCACACATGAATGCACTGCTATTCATTCACTATTATTCACACATGAATGCACTACTATTCACAGATAAATACAATTTTTCATTCTTCTATTTCCTCTTAGACTCCTTTATTTTTGTCCTGTCTTCGAGGTGCAACAAAAACACCCCCACTAGAGGTGTTTGCTAGTGGTTTCCGGCTAGCCAAGGGCAACAACCCCTTCCATTTTCTCCCACTGTTTTATGACACACCAAGCAACCCAAACACCCCCTGTTGCCGTTTTCTTTCTGCTTCCTCCCCCTCTCATCGACAGTAACTGGAACAAGAAAACAAAGTGGTGAAGAGGTTGCCAGAATAGCCCCTGCCACTCCACTACTGCGATGAACCACCAAATCGGTGGAGGTGCTCCATATGGTTCTTTCTTCGCTCCTGAAACAATTTCATACTTCATCATTTCGTGTTCTTGATAAAAAAACCCCCAAAATCAGAATTAAATACAATTAACAATCAATTAAATGAAGCAAATTTAGTAAATGAAGAGACTGAACAAAATACAAAATACATATGAATTTCTATAATTGTAATTATATTCATAAATGAATACACTTTTGATTATGTAAATCAATAGAACGAATATTAGATGAAAAGGTTGAAGGGAGTGTAAGGTTACCTTTGAGCTTAATGGAAATGGGTTTTTTTTTCCCAATTTTAGTAGTTGGGGAGGGTGAACCGAAAGCCGATGTCATATTGATGAAGGCATGTGGGATCTTATTGCTTCAATGGGAAGATATATCGAGTATACAGAAGCTGATTAGGCAGTCATATCCTTCAACATGAAAAACATGGAACTTCTATACATAACCAATTGTTCTAAACCCAAATCATGGAAAAGGATTACTGTGTCAAAAAGTGCATTCAATACAGGGCAGAATAGAGTAGTTACACTTGATAAGAATTACAAAACCCTAAGAATAAAATACTCAAGAGGCAGAACACTACATGTTGTTTTGCCTTGTAAATCTGTAACTGTTTCCACTTGGTTTAATCCTTTGAACTAATATCTAAGGATATTAAATACCACAATTACTGAACCTAGATCATGTTATAGCATTAGTAAAGATAGACGAGTAAATGAACATCCCAGTTGAGCAAGTAGATATAATTTCACAACTTGGCTCCCTGAGAACGTAATTGAAGATCCAGCAAAGCTTCGATATAACGTCTATGTCATGAACTCGTTGAAATTAACAGATATATATTAAAACAAAATCTTAACGAAGGCACTCAATGAAGTCTCAGGCACACGGAATTGAAACAGATAAAAATCGAAGCACCAATCTTTCTTCAAACACAACCTTTACAAGTCCCAAACTCGTTCATTTTTCATTCCAACACTTCGAACCGGACAAGCATCAGTTTCTCGAAGCAAATAACTTCCATTTTATTTCGTTTCAGATGTACCAACTGAATCGATTTAATACCATAACCATTCGAATCTCAACCACAACATAAACAGACATACATATGTAATACAAAAAGGTAGGGTTTCGGATACCTGGCAGAAAATCAAAATATACAGATCAAATGAGTCTCGTCAATCCAAACTTTGGCGACCTATTACAGTTGGAAAAACAAACTTTTGATCATCAGTGATGCACACAATCGAAGCAAAGAATCGCGCAATCGAGTGGCCTATCAATGAAGGCATGAGGCTTATCGTTGTATATATACAGCGATTATGCTCGTATTCACTAATCACCATGTCATGCTCCATTGTAATATCATGATGGTTTTGTCCTTGGTTATTTCTAAAACTACGGTTCACCCTCCCCAACTACTAAAATTGAATTTCTTTTTCATTAATGATTAGTCAAACGAAATAAATGATCAAAGATCTAGAAATTCATACCTAACCCTAGCGCCGATCTTCGCTGGACTTTCTTCTTCTGAAGCGAAAGCCGATGTCGGATCGTCGATGATTGCCGTGGAACTGGAATCCAATGTCACTGATTTGATACGTGGATTCAAACCTGAAGTTGGGGTAAGACGGCGGTGGAGCGATCGACGGGAAGAGAGGAAAGAAAAGGACCCGAATTCATTGAGAGAGACGCTTATTTTGAAACCCTAGAGAGAGATCGGTGGAGATAAAGATACGAGATTATGAAAGGAAATAGGAGAGATGGTGAGAAATTGTAGGAAATAGGTAATTTTGAAATTCCTATTATGCCCTTCTGTCAATTTAAAAGTTACACTTTAATGCCCCGTAGTTTTAGAATTTATCATAAATCGTCCATTTAATAATAGCCTTAGATCTAAATATTTAAATGGTTCAGATTTGTTCTCGCGTTCTCAACCTTTTAGGTGTTGTCATTTGATCATACTCATATATATATATATATATATATATTTATATATATATATAATATATATATATATATATAATATATATATATATATATATATATATATATATATATATATATATATATATATATATATACACACACTAAGTTAACGAAAACAATGCATTTATGTTATTTGGTTCGGCTCGTTAAAACGCATGTTTTCTTTTCCAGCAATGTGTGTTTGATTCTAATATGCACCATTTTTATTTTTAAATCCTATACACGATTCATCTCCTTTCGATTTAAATCCAAGATACACGTACGTACAGCCCCTGCTTTATTCTATATTTTTTACAATCTACCCCTCTTTATAACTTTTTTGTTAAATCAGTTTCTAAAAGTTATACATTTAATCCTAAATTTGTATTTGTGTCTTTTTAATCAATTTATTTACTTTTTAGATTTACATGACACAATTCACCTCTTAAAATTATTTTTCTTTTATATAGAACAGTTGTATTTAAGGGTTCATTTTTATCTTTCACACCGGGCCTTCAAAACCAAGGGATCGGCCCTGCAAACAAATATACTATATTTGTTAGTCTTATATGTTGCATCTATAATCAAAACGTATGGAAATGCTTTCTGTATATTCAACGATTGTGGATGAACGAAGAATAGACTTTCCAATTCATTTGAAATACTATTTAAGGAGAACTCTGTAAAAAAATGTTTCTCGTTCAAAATTTCCATTAGAACCTACATTAAAAGATTATTAATTAAGAAAAATTTAACATATAAATTAAATTTAAAATAATACTTGTTGTATATACAAACCTGCATTGGAGTTTTTCCGTAAATTCTGGACGAGAGAAGCTTGAGACTTGCATTTTATAAGGTTTTTAGTGTAGAAACATTATTCTCGTTACGCTCCTCTAACATTGAGAATATGTCATGTGGCGTAATATTCTGATTAGTCAAGTCAGTCACCAGTTGTTTCTCGTATTTTTTCAACAGCCTAACAAAAACATGTCTCTCCATATATTATGCAGCTGGATGATTATGTTGATCACATATCACCCTGAGGGTCCAGCCATCATATTTTTTTTGATATACAAACCTACCAATTGAAAGTTACAACTGATTACTTTGGTGCCAAAATTTTTCGGTATTGTTTTACTTTCATATTCGCGCCCACGATCACAAATAAGTATGATGCAATGCACCACACCATTTTTATTCTTTGATCTTCTCATCACGATTACATAATCAAGAGATAATGCAATCTTCTATACTCATTTCATCAACTCATCAAGAGACTCAAACACCTAATTAAAAAAAATACTTTGTTAACAAATTGTATTACAATGATAAAAAAATGTTAATATCAATCATAAATATAATACCCGCTTGGTAGAAAACGATAATATAGCCGTCATGTTCTCAACGCCTTCATTTGAATTATTTCCATTCGGTTTCCACATTTTTTACTAAACACTGCAGAGAAAAATAAATAATTATAAAAAATAAATTATACATAAATTACTAATTTAAAAATAAATATGTTTTATAAAAAGATTTACTGTAAAAAACGTGATAGTCCAAGTTTCTACCCATTTTATTAAAATGTATTAAACCCATCACTTAGCCGATTTTAAACTCAATCTAATCTCAAAAAAAAAAAAAAAAAAAAAAAAAAAAAAAAAAAAAAAAAAAAACTAAATTTCGTTAGCCACCACCACTCCAAAATCGATCTCCTCTTGTCTCTCTTCCATCTCTCCACACTCTCACATGAATCACTACTCTCCATCCTCTCTCATCGGAATGATCACCGAAATGACGCACCACCATCATCATAAAAGACGCACCAACACCGTCGGAACGACTCATCGGAACGACAATAAAAAAACGTCAGAACTACCTCTGCCTCCATCTCATCTAACCTCTGCTGCTCATCGGATCTATGCTCCCGTTGACCACTGTCGTTGTCTCTTTCCCTCCGCCGTGTCATCTGAATCTTCCTTCGTACAAAATACTTCAACGAACCCATGGTTGCTTCCATTGCTTATGGTCTTGAAAATAATGGAGGTGACAAACAAGAGATAATGCACTCTTCTATACTCATTCCATCAACTCATCAAGAGACTCAAACACCTAATTAAAAAAAATACTTTGTTAACAAATTGTATTACAATGATAAAAAAAAAATGTTAATATCAATGATAAATATAATACCCGCTTGGTAGAAAACGATAATGTAGCCGTCATGTTCTCAACTCCTTCGTTTGAATTATTTTTATTCGGTTTCCACATTTTTTACTAAACATTGCAGAGAAAAATAAATAATTATAAAAAATAAATTATACATAAATTACTAATTTAAAAATAAATATGTTTTATAAAAAGATTTAGTATAAAAAAGTGATAGTCCAAGTTTCTGCCCATTTTATTAAAAATGTATTAACCCATCAGTTAGTCCAATTTTAAAACTCAATCTAATCTCAAAAAAAAAAAAAAAAAAAAAAAAAAAACACTAAATTTCGTTAGCCACCACCACTCCAAAATCGATCTCCTCTTGTCTCTCTTCCATCTCCCCACACTCTCACATGAATCACTACTCTCCATCCTCTCTCATCGGAATGATCATCGAAATGACGCACCACCATCATCATAAAAAACGCAACACCACAGTCGGGACAACTCACCGGAACGACAATAAAAAAACGTCAGAACAACCTCTGCCTCCATCTCATCTGATCTCTGCTGCTCATCGGATCTATGCTCCCGTCGACCACTGCTGTTGTTTCTTTCCCTCCGACGTGTCATCTGAATCTTCCTTCATACAAAATACTTCAACGAACCCATGGTTGCTTCCATTGCATATGGTTTTGAAAATAATGGAGGTGACAAGAAAATTTTTGTATTCGACCATGGTGGTGAAACTTTTGATGTCAGCATTTTTACAATCAACAATGGCGTTATACTCGTTGGAACGACAATGTTGGTTGACCCCTGGTATTTGACCATGGTCGAAAATTCTAGTATTTGACCATGGCGATGGAACCTCCAATTCTCGACAGAACTATCCACTCTGCACTCTCACTCTCATCACCGGAATACTCTGTTCTTGACACTCATCTGTATACACATCGGTATATTACTGTCGAACCATCGGTGGCGGTGAATGTGGCGGCATTATGATAAATACTTCAATAGTTGATTCAGATTTAGAATAGATTATTTACCTTGATTTTGGTTTGTTCACTGTTAGTTTGTATTATTGGCTTATAAATTAAGAATTTTTTTAAACAAGTGATTAGTGGTTGCTTATGAACAAGTTTCAATATAATCAAATTAATTCTTATTAAAGAAACAATCTTCAAAAAATGGTTAGTGGTTGCTTAAACGAAAATTTTGATGGTAAAAAAAACAAACAATTTACACTAAAAGAAAAAAAAAAAGTTGAATTGTACAAAATTATTATTAATATCGTGTGGTCAGGTTTGAAAAGTGTTTGAAATACAATGAGTTTAATTTAAAAGCTAAAGTTGTCATTTTGTTTTTTACAATGAGCTAAAGTGTAAATTGTCCAAATATGTTTTGCTCGAATATTTGTTGAATCTTAGAAAGTCAAACATAAATCCCAACTACAAAAATTTATATTTCCAATAAAAAAAGCTATTTGACTTTTAAATTGAGTGTCTAAGAGTGTCTTATTAGAAACATTCATATCAAAAATCTTTCATTTGATCGACTTAATGACCGGTTGTTTTAACCTATCAAATACATTTGATCGACTTATGTCTTTCGTCTATATGCCTATTTACCTCAATCCAACCCCCATATGAATCGCTTGGACCTCGAGATCTCATACCACAATTAAGAACCTTTCAGAATATACAATATGTATAATGATAATTTAAGTTTTTGTATTACGACATATGTATGGAATTTTAGCAAACCATTGTTCTTGGAAGGAAACGTTACGTTTTCTAGCATAAGTGATTTTCGACAAAATATGTCAAGGGTGATGGATTTGTAATTCTTGTTGGGCTGATAAATCTATGGGCTAAATGCATTACATGAAGATTAGATTGAGAAGCTGGATGGGCCAATATGCGTGTGTCTACCGGATTATGACATACCCTACTGATCACAATATATATTGAGATTATGTTTGGGTTTTATTCATTCAGAAAAGAATAAAAAATGTTTGGTTTACACATTTTCTCTCCATTGATTTAGGGTTTCTATTCCTTGGTCTTTTTCGTTTATTAGAAAGAAATTACACATTGTAAATCTTTCATATTTAGAGTTCGGATTTCTTAAATAATTTGTAGGGTTTGTATTGTTGTATTTTAATTTCTATACTTCGTTCTAGAGTTTTTGATCAAACAAGTGTTTTTAAAAATTTTATTTACCAAATAGGTGTATTTTTAAAAATATTTACAAAATAAGGATAGTTTTAAAATTTTATATTTTTCTAAAATTTTAGCTTTTATTCTAGGTGTATTTTTAAAAATATTTACGAAATAAGGATAGTTTTAAAATTTTATATTTTTCTAAAATTTTAGCTTTTATTCTACTTCTACTACTTTTTTCTTTGGGTTGAGGACGTGTCAACCCGTTCACATGGCAGGAGGCGACAATATTCTTTGATAATGGGTTGCGCGGGGCCATTGAGAACATTGTGGTTTGTGGTTGCCCTTTCTTTGGTGACATACAATAGTGCATTGCTTCCTTACCCATCAGTTTTGATGGTTTGGGTTTATACTCGACGGTAAAGGCTACTTCATATGCTTTTGTTGCCTCAAGGGCCCAAACTTGGGTATTACAAGACCACATCTTACGGGATAGCGACATATATGGTATGGATTCTGATTATGATGGTGCCTTGGCTTCTCTTCGTAACAAGCTTCCAGATTCTGACCTTAGCAGTTTTACTACTAAAGACACCGCCCCCTAAATCCCAGAGTACGCTGGCGAGTGCCCTTTTTCGTAAAATTGTCCAAGATATGAAAGTTCATCTCGACATGACACCTCGTCAGAAAGCAGTTTTCTAGTGCTTACGTTCATCACATGCCTAAGATTTTCTTCTTGTTATTCCTATAGATGGGATTGGCCAACATATGTCTCCTGTGGAGTATCATACTATCCTCAAATATCGACTCATGATTCCAATATTCCCAGCTAATGAGATATGTTCGGTGTGTTGTAGGGCATGTTTGGACTCCTTTGGAGAGCACGCAGTTCACTGTAAAGAACTCCCGGGGTTCAAATACAGGCACGATATGGTTAGAGATATTTTGTTCGATATATTTAAGCATGCCGGAGTTTCCGCTAAGAAAAAGGCACCTGTGAGTTTCTTGACTGACCCGACAGAAGGAAGGTTAACCCTTAGACCGACTGATATTTTGATTTTTGGATGGGTCGGAGGGAAACATGGCAGGAGGCGACAATATTCTTTGATAATGAGTTGCGCGGGGCCATTGAGAACATTGTGGTTTGTGGTTGCCCTTTCTTTGGTGACATACAATAGTGCATTGCTTCCTTACCCATCAGTTTTGATGGTTTGGGTTTATACTCGACGGTAAAGGCTACTTCATATGCTTTTGTTGCCTCAAGGGCCCAAACTTGGGTATTACAAGACCACATCTTACGGGATAGCGACATATATGGTATGGATTCTGATTATGATGGTGCCTTGGCTTCTCTTCGTAACAAGCTTCCAGATTCTGACCTTAGCAGTTTTACTACTAAAGACACCGCCCCCTAAATCCCAGAGTCCGCTGGCGAGTGCCCTTTTTCGTAAAATTGTCAAAGATATGAAAGTTCATCTTGACATGACACCTCGTCAGAAAGCAGTTTTTCAGTGCTTACGTTCATCACATGCCCAAGATTTTCTTCTTGTTATTCCTATAGATGGGATTGGCCAACATATGTCTCCTGTGGAGTATCGTACTATCCTCAAATATCGACTCATGATTCCAATATTCCCAGCTAATGAGATATGTTCGGTGTGTTGTAGGGCATGTTTGGACTCCTTTGGAGAGCACGCAGTTCACTGTAAAGAACTCCCGGGGTTCAAATACAGGCACGATATGGTTAGAGATATTTTGTTCGATATATTTAAGCATGCCGGAGTTTCCGCTAAGAAAAAGGCACCTGTGAGTTTCTTGACTGACCCGACAGAAGGAAGGTCAACCCTTAGACCGACTGATATTTTGATTTTTGGATGGGTCGGATGGAAACATGCATGTGTGGACCTTACAGGGGTATTCCCTCTCGTGGGCTTGAGGGCGGGGGGTTTCACGACAAGACTGACTGCTTTAAAAGCTGCTACAGGCAAAGTCAGCAGACATGAGAAATCGTGCATGGAAAATCAAAACGTGTTCATACCATTTACATTTGATACGTTTGGTTTTCTAGCACCGGATGCGGTAGAGCTTCTTAATAAAGTACAACGGATCATGAATTGCAATGGTATATCCCCTAGTTCTATGAATGTAGTCTTTAAAAGATTGAACTTTGCTATACAAAAAGGCTTAGCGGCGCAGCTTGTTGCCCGTTTCCTATTTCACTTGTTGTACGATGATAATTAAATTAATCCTTTTACATATTGAAAAGCATCATTTTTTAACTTTTAGTTATTAAAATTGCCATGTGCAATCTAAAATTGTCATCTGCAATATAGACATACGTATTTCAAACATGTGAGTAAAATAATTTAGATTGACAAACCAAAAAAATATATATATGTGAACTTGTGATTGTATAAAATCGATGATATGTCTAAGAATAAAAAATTAGCTGAGATGTCGATCATAAATTGAAATTATGACTTTACAAGATACAAATTCTTTTGACTTAAAAGTAACATTAATGGTAAATAAACATTAAGGAAACAAATGAACATATACTAGCCTTAATATTCATTAATCCGTAATCCTATAAGAAACTTCATATATACAATTGTATCTGATGACTCTAATGTTATAGATGTTGGTATCTGATGACTCTAATGCTATAGATGTGCTATAGATGTTGGTATCTGATGACTCT